ACCTTTTGAAACGATTTTTATGGTACTTAATCAACTCATACAATTCGGGTTTAAAACTTTGTATATAGGGTTATATTGTTTTTAATCAGCCATCAATCATATCATTTTTTTAAATTACTTTTAGGCGCAGGATTCACTTGTACCGAATGGTGTGAGGCATTATCGCAAACAACTACTGAGTAAGGGGGTAAATTTGGAATTAGTTTTTCCTTTAGCCATTTGCGGTAATTCGTGGCATTCATTTCTAAGTGGTAGTCACCGGATTTACTACCAGACTTAGGTAAATATTAAAAGCGCGTTTGGAATAAATCCCATTTCACCACCAGCATGCACTAACCTTGCACGAACGTTGACCCTTCGAAACGTTCATCAGTAACAAAAAAATTTTATTTCAAATCCTTTATAAAAGGTATATAATAAAATTCCCAAACGGGCTATCACAAATACATACAGAACGTTTTCGGAATGTTAATTCCATCATCAGTATAAACGGGGTATACATGCTATGGGCCACCAAAATATATGGGTCAAAACCCGTTAAATGTTATAAATTTATAGTTGTTTTACATTATATATAATTACAAATTAGGATGTTTAAATTACCGTTGGAATTGGTAACATGGCGACGTATGACCCTACATATAACGGGACCTATATATATATATATATATATATATATATATATATATATATATATATATATATATATATATATAATATATATATATATATATATATATATATATATATATATAATATATAATATATATATATATATATATATATATATATATATATATATATATATATATATATATATATATATATATATATATATATTATTTAATCCATGTCTTGATCAAAACTAGATCTAAAATTTTTAGATTATTTTTATCATAGTATTAATACAAAATTATTAGTTCATTTGAAGTAAAATCGACCAGTCATTAAGTTATATAATATAAAATATAAACACATTTTTTTTTAAATCTACTGTCATTTCTTTACATTGACCTGACATTCAAATACAAATACTTGACCATACAAATTACATGACATTCTGTCAAAGTTTTAATAATAGTACATTGTTTACCGGGTAGGAAAAGCTTAACATTCCTGGACGACTGTGAAGATTGCTAAGTCGAGGCGCAAGCCGAGACTTAGAAACACAGAGTCCAGGAATGTGGATTTTCCTACGAGGTAAACATACTATTTTTCCGCAAATCGTTTAAAATTCGACAGATATTGATTGATTTAAAAAAAACGCGATAATTTTATTCCCAAATAAATGGTGCTTTGAAATTCCTATTAAAATTACTTGGGTTACTATGGAAACGTATTGAGGTTGAATATTGACACTTCTATCATTTATGTAGAACACTAACAACTGTACGGAAATATCATTTCCTTACAGTAAGGAAATGACATTTCCTTACAGTAAGGAAGTCCTGGCTTTTTCTTCAAGAAATTTTGACAGGAATGTCAAAATTTCCTGGCGATTTGCGGAAAATTGTTTTATTCGTAGTTTATTGGAAAGTAATGTTTGATGCTCTTATAGTATTTATTACAGGTTACAGGGTTGGTTGCAAAATGTTAAAATAAATTCTATTTAATAAATTCACATATTATTTGGCGTTGTTTTACTTTTAAAATTTTTGTTTGCTCAAAATTGTGTTTTTTTTTTGTTTTTTAAGGGCTGTTATATTATTTTTATCAAATTTATGTAAATTTAATCTAGATTGTAGATGATGACTTGTTCGAAAAATATAAACTCGTAGATAATATTTACATGGAATTTCATTGACTATAACTATGTATTTTTTTTATCGATAGAGGAGTTTTACTCTAAAGTTTGCTAAACTCTTTATTATTGGATTTATATACATATTTTCTAATTGAACTTCCTAAGTATCGCAATTACGACCTAGATTAAATTGTAATGTAAGCTAATAGTACAAAGTTTGTTGGTATGGTATGATAGAAGCAATACCCTCTGTGCTAAGGTATGAATTATTTGTGAGATTATAAATTGGGGATTTGAGCTCATGTGAGCACAGTCTATTATAAGTAGTTACCTAACCAACATCATATTGTGTAATTACTAGTAGCTGTCAATAAAACCATCACTTTTACTCCACAACTTCAACCTTTTATTATATTTATCATCGTCGATCGACAAGAAGCGGACAAAGGGGCATTATAAAACGATTCGAACCTCATAACTACTTTCGAATCTTTCCAGTTTGTGAATTCTAGATTAAAATATTTTGTGAATAAGGTGGTGATGGTTCAAACAAACATTTTTTTTATTGTTAAGCGTCTATTACCATTGTTTCATAGACATCTCTTTTCCAGGAATGGTTCCGGCTTTCTTCTTTTAGATGGCGTCTTCCAAATTTTCTTTGGACATCTCTCTCCGTTGGTCATTCGCTGTAATTGTCCGAAATAATTTAATCGCTTAATAAATTAATTGTCTTAATAACATTTGTATCGATCCCCATCTTTCTCACTACTCACTATATCCTTTCTAGTCGGGAGGCAACAACGTTTTCAGTAATTTATCTTCACTGCTTTAATTTTAGATATTGTATTTCTTTTATTTATCTTCCACCGTTTTGTTTTATACAGTTTAATGTTTCTACAATCGTTTTGTTCATTTTGTTATTTTCAGTTATTTTACTGTTCTACAGCAGACTGTTTGGTTTTCTAGTTGCTAGCTCTCGCTTGGCTTAGTCTTAACAAGGTTAATGTATTATTGCTTTCTTCAGCAAATGTACATTTTGCTCTCAAGTAAATAAAAGTTTCTGTTTCTTTTATTACGTGCGCCCCATGTGAAAATCATTTGATTCATTTTCTACCACTAGATATTCAGTTTTTGTAGTGTTTGTATTGATGCTCCATTTGGTATATTATTCATTTAGTTTTTCAAACATATAATTATTGTCTACTTCATTATCTGCAAGAGTTACCTAGTCATCCGCAAAGTGCGTTGTACATAGCTTCCGATCTTCAAACAAAATATCCATACTTTAACACGTTTTTCGCCAAGTGGTTAAAGGTGCATTTATTTAAATTTTGAGCAAATTATGATATATGCAACAGCCTTGATTTAATTATTGATTTAGACCCTTGTTGATAATAATTTTATTACAAGCTTTATTACAGATTGATTTACAACGTGTATATTTTTAGTTGGTCCACAATTTAGAAAGTGGAAGATAGCATTCCAATTATTTCTCTACTACTACTACTACTACTATACAATTGTTTGTTTTAGCTTCAGTTATAGCAAATTTAATTATATATCGAACTTGCTACATTTCACTCGGTTATGAAAAAAGTGATTGTGCTCAGTTGGGAAATAAAGATAATAATGTAACTCATCACTATGAAAAAATGGTTCAATCTCATGCAGATATCATATTATTGATAAAATCTCTACTCGATTTACTTCTACCGACGTTTATATGCCTGATAGCTGGATCATGGTCTGATAAGCATGGCAGGAAACCAGTTATGTTGTTATCTTTAGGAGGTGATGTATTTTGCATTATTTTTTTACTTTTTTTAACAAATAGGAACGAATGGAAAAAAATAATAATAAGTTCGAAAACACATAGCGGACTGTAGAAGAAAAATTATAAAATAAATTAAGGCTAATCCCTATCCAAAAAGGATTTTTAAGTAAAACATTGCTTCAGCTTCTACAATTTTTATGTACGCATAATTGGTTGGTATAGAATAAAAATACTTCTATTTAAGCGATTATATGTCCATATTTCCAATAACGACGAGAACGTACCGAAGACAGTTGGGCTAAAAGCTGAATCTTAATATATTGCAGCCTGGAAACTGCTCTACCACATACACTCTGCCAGGAACGTAGGTAGTCTACAGACATAAACATCGAAAAGTTTATAATACTTATGTTCGTCTGTCAAAAGATCTGATATACTGTCAAGGCTTGATTATATCCTAAATCGTTAATCCCAAGAGAAATAAGGACTCGTGCGACAATCGTAAACACTATTGCCTAGTTAGTAAAGTCACATTTTTTTACTGTCATTTCTAGGAACTTCCAAGAGATATATTTGCCACCTTTGACTAAAAAGGATCACCCGCTCGAGTAAGTACGTCAACCAAATGTCCGAACCTCCGGTTCTTCTCTCCTGATCCCGGATCAGGATTATTATCACAACGACGAGTCATTAGTAGAGTAAAACTAGCCTGTCTAGCCCAACTCTGCTTAAAATATAGCTAAAACAGCAGATAAAAAGCAGATTGAAGGAAATATGTGTTCTATACTTATATCTAATCCGCAATTAAAGATGTATAAGAAACTGTAGGAATCTTAGATGAAAAATATTATATATTTTAAACGAATAATTCAGTAGGAGCAAATTTTGTTAAAGATTGATGGGATAGATAGATAGATATGATAAATAATGTTCAAAGAATAAGAATCAATTTTTTTCATAATACATGTAGCTTTTTAAGAAGTATTTACCAAATATTTTATGCAAATTTAGACAATTGCATTGCCTGGAAAGGTTATAGTAATGTTTTTGAAATTTAATTTGGGATATTTCCAATTTCTACCTATGAAAGTATCAAATAATGAATTGGAAATACTACACATATCTTTTTGAATAACTAAAAGATAAAAATTAAAGGGAAAATATATGATTTACAAAAGAAAAAAAATTCGAAACTTCGTTGTATGTTCATACAACCATCTGCATATTGGACAATAAATATTCAATTTTTAATTCACGAAAGTTTGCTATGTCGACCTGTCTGCGATGAACGTTACATTGAAATAAAGAAAAATAAGGAATTGGAAGTAAAACCTTAGTTGGCCTGACATAATGGATCAAATAAATAAATAAGTCAAATAGTATTGTTATAGAGGAATCTGTATTGTTAAAAAACTATAAAAATATTTTACATTAATATTTGTATTTGAAACTTTTGTAGGAATGGCTTTAAGTTGTGTGCTAATGACATTATATTGCCTGTTTGAAGATTTATCTCCCTGGATATTCTTGGTAACTGCAATACCAACCATGCTAACGGGAAATAACACTACATTTTTTGCCATAATACTATCCTACATATCCGATACTTCAACAAAGGAAACTAGAGGTATGAGGTAAGTTCTCAGTCCATTACCACACTAAACTATTTTTTAATATTGTTTACTCGTGTCGATTTTGTCTCGCTTATAGTAATTTTTTATAATTTTATTAGTATTAAGATGCTATAAAAAGCACCTCCAAAAGCTTGATGAATGACGCAAATGATTAAAGCAACTAAAGAAGAATATTAAACTACTATGAAACGTGACCGATTAACAAAAGATATAGGAAACGTAAGCATAAGGGTTGAGAAATTACAGGAGTGAATAAAGGATATCTGAATGGAAATGGATGGCCTTAGATATAGTCTATTAGCCACAGGATTCATTTTTATTCATACACATATAGGTACATATTATTAGGTGCTTATTAAATATTGATTTAGCTTTTTTAACGTAATTTATTATTGCATCTAAAACGCGTTTATTATGGCTTGATAACAGGGAACCAATGTTGAGAGGGAGAGGAGTGTTGTATTCTATTAGAGAATTATATAGTCTAGAGATAGCTGATTCATTTTTTTACACTCCAGAAATATGTGGTTAATATCACCTATGGACATGTTGTCACAGTCACATAACGGGGAGTTTAGTATCCTTAATTTATGAAGGTGTCCGGAAAACAGCCAGGATTCAATTTTAAGCGTGTTACTGTTGAAGTATATCTTTTTATATAATCAAAAGTTATGTCCGGTATTCTATTTGGAAGCTATGGGTAAAGCTAGAAATTAGGATTTTTCGATGTCTTTAATTTAATACCATTTTTTAATTTAGTATTTAAGTCGGTATAAGAAAAAAATTCTACAAATTTATCTGATTTATAAGCTTCTTTTTCTTCACAATCTGCCCTTTCATTACCTATAATACCGCTGTGACCTTTTACCCATATGAGAATTATTTTCTATTATGTTGATTTACGTGCTATAATAAGTTTTTTATTTCACAAATTAATTTTTAATTATAAATTGGAGATCTTTCAATTGCTTGCAGAACGGACTTTGAATCTAACATAATAGAAACCGTTTGAACTGTATTTAGTGTGCACCATAGTAGGCTTTTTTATCGCGATAGACTCAGGAGTGTAAATAGAAAGTGTCTCTCTATAGCTGGTCTAAATTTTTCGACTAAAACAAAAAATGCTGCACCTGTTCCATTTTAGTGTCATTTTTTCCAAAAGCATTCAAAGTGGTTGAGAGTATTAGGTTATTTAAATTAGCGTTTTCAGTATATTCAGGGTATATACTGGTTGGCCGAAATATGATACTTTGATAACTATATTCATATATTGGATGTTTGGGACTACTGAATATAAAAATGTCATATTGATTGGTATTAATAAAGCCATCTGACAAGGGAGGGGAGTTTTTTATTCTCCAATAAGGTGTTGTAAGGTTAAAAGTATTAATAAAAGCTATTTTCTGGATCATATTCGTATTAAATGCCCTGTATTTAAGTATTTGTTTTTCAGCTAAATACTGTCTACGTATATTTAACGGAGGTTCTTGTATTTCTGCAAGGACTGCTTGGTTAGACGATGTCATCATTAGACGCATACCAGTTTTTAAAGCTTTGTATTGTATACGATCAATAGTTATTAAAAAAATACGAATATATGCTTTGTAGAATGTATACCTATACGATACAGTTAACATTATCTCCCCATTTTTCTTGGAAACTACTTTTAGCAGATTTATGGCTCTTCGCATCTTAAACATTATAGAATTTTCATGAGATTTTGAAAGGTAGAAAAACTTCATCAGTAAACCGTATAGAAAATTTAGTTAGGCAATTGGTTTTATTATTATATTATTGACTGAACACGGTAAGTTAACAATAATAAGAGAAACGTTACGAGGTTTTTTACACATTTTATTAAATTAAAAAAATACTTTTCGAGGGGCGAATCGGGACAGTGATTCGGAATTATAAAAGAAAGCCAGGGTCCAAAGTGTACGAAAATTATGATCGGAAAACATTCCTAACTGCGGTAAAGGTAATGGATTTTGACAAGAGCTATGACCTTGTAAATAACAGGTAAACTTGTGTACTAAATTTTCATGACTCACAGCTCTTGTTAAAATCCATTACCTCTACGTCAATTCAAGACGGCCGATACGCCAAATAAGTCTTCGATAGGCTCAGGAAATATATGAAATTCCTAAGTCAACTTTACAGAAACATAACAAAGGGCCAATGAAAAAACAAGGGGGACAAACCATTCTCATACAAAATGAGGAGGAGCGTTTGATTCAGGTTGTCATATTGGCAGGAGAATGGTGCTATCCGTTCGACAAATGGGATATTCGGTGCGCTGTGAAAGATTATTTGGATCGAAAAGGCAATAAAATGAGACGATTTAACAACAATTTACCAGGCCCGAACTGGGTCCGTTTTTTTATTTCATCATAAGAATGTCCTAACGCAGAGGCTCTGTGAAAATATCAAGAGGGCCCGTGCAGGTGTCTCTTACGAGCCTGTAAATTTATATTTTGATAATCTCCAGGATACCTTGAAAGATATCCAACCTAGTTCCATAATTAATTATTACGATAATCATGAATGCGTAAATATATAGTATTTTCCCCATAAAGGTCATCAAAATTACACTGAGAATCGCCACTAGTCCCGTTTTTGAAAAAGAAATAAAATTATGGGTTGCAATGGTTTATGACCTATTGATTTTCGCATAAATTCTTGAACAGGGCTTACGGAAACCTTTAGATAACTTCCGAATGCTGTTTGTAATCCGCTACGAGACGTGAGCAATCTTATATTCCGGTTCTGAGTAATTGAGATTAAGCTTCAAAGTAGACTTTGAAGATGCTACTTAATGGGAATATGGTGCTTTGTGGTCTTCTTTCTGAAATCTGTTTCAACTGCTGTTTGTTCTTTTTCTACACTTTGATTGCGATTGTTGATCTTTTACGGAAGTGGATAATAGCTCTTCACCTCAGTAGTGTGAATCGACTTCCTCGAAGCTCTAATATATTTTAACGTGCTATTATTGTTGCTTGTCTCGTTTAGGTGTTTGTATTTTGAGCTACCAATAAATTATTTTTCCTCCACACTGGTACAATGCACTTTTCTGCAATATTTTTGAATCGTCGATCAAGAATATCAGACAAGGGGTAATAAATATCACATATAAACAGAAATAAATGGGGTAATAAACATTAAAAATTCATAAAACTCATCGATATTTACCATAATACTCTATTTTATTTTAGAATGGCTTTTTCTGAAGTGGCCTTAGCAACTGGATCTCTCTTGGGAAGCATTTCAAGTTCTTACATATTTTACGCCACAAATTATCCATCCATGTTTGCCATTGGTTTAGGATGTTTATTAATCAGTATTGCTTATACGACATTTTTTGTACCTGAATCTATAAAAAATATCTCCAATTCCAAGGAAAATAAAATAAATAACGAGGTAAGCATATGACTTAGGATTTCTATCATAACGAAATACGCCAACCATATATGGATTGTGCGCAGCTGATAGAAAAAATAAACTAGAGACAAGTACTAGACGCGTCGAAAAAAATAAAAAGATTTGGGGTCAGAAACTTTAGGGGATGTTATTAATTATTCATAATTATTGATGCTAAAGTAAACAAAACTATTAGTGTCATTTTAAGAAAGCTTCGAAAAGTTTTATTTGCGGCAAAATTTGCGTCTTATGTCAGAAACCTTTACTACCCTACCATTTTTATTTTTTTAATAGCTGACGTGACTTCTTCAATGGTAATCGAGAGTCCTGTTTGGCATTCCGTGTTTTCACTGGTATTCTGCCTTCCATCTGCAAAAGTTACTTTAACATATTTCTTCCAAGTGTCCAGTGTCTCTTCCAGACTTAATAGTGTTTGCCTTGGTTGCCCGCTAAACGCCCAACTCTTCTTAGCTTGTGTAAGTCTGCAGCTTCTTTAAGTTTTTCGGGATATAATGAATTATATATACATATGTTGCAATATCTGTATTTCCGCACATTGTTCTCTTAGCCGTATGTGCTTAGCTAGTTTGATTGCTTTTTGATCTCTTTGTTTATCCTTTTGTATAATGTCGTGTCCTGATCTTTGAACTTTCGCCTCTCTTTCATCATATCCAACATCTCATTTGTCATCCACGTTTTTTTCTTCATTTTTGGTGGTTTGAGGAATTTCTCTTGTATGTCTTGTGAAACTCTATGAAACTTTTCAAACTCCTGGTCGATTACATCCGTTTGAATAACGTTTTCCGTATTCCGAGTAATTCGTATTTAAGTTGTTCTGTGTATACTGTTTTACACTCTTCGTATTGGTCTTTAATTAGCCTGATGTTCTATTTTGTGTTGACACTACATCAAATATTTTTTAGCCTGAGCCTAATTTAACTAATTAGTGGGTTATGGTCTAACTTGATATCGGCTCCTGGGTATGTCTTAACTGATGTTATGCTGTTACGAAATCTTGTATTAATCATAATGTAATATATTTGATTTGATTTGTCACCGTGCGGCCTTTTATTATTAAATGCTTCACTTATGTCGTCTGGTTTGTCAGCTGTAGGGGCATATACCTGAATAACGTTAGTTTTAATTAGGTAAGTATTAAGTTGAAGGAGGAGTCTTATTTCCGATACCGTTATAAAGTTTTTAACGTATCTGGCAGTTTTTTGATTTAAGATTATACTTATTCTAGTTTGTCCAGAGTTCGTCCGATTTCATTTCGCCTATTTACATTATGTCTATTGATAGTTTATCCATATCCTTGATTGCATTATGAGTCTTACCTGTATAATGTTTTAACATTCTATTTGCAGATTGTAATATTTTTCTTTACACTATATTGGCAACGATTTCGTCTGTTGGCGGCCGAGAAAGCCTTGCAGTCTTGTCCTTCTCTGTCGGATCTTAGTAATTCGAATTCCATGATTAGTACGTAATATATTTTCTACGATTTGTGGTAGTCATGCTAATGGTACTAGGGTTATACGCTACGAGTCTTTAATGTTCTCTGGTTCTCCGTTGCCTTCTGGATCTTTATGGCGTTGACCGTTGTTAATAGGTTCCTCCGCCTTCGAGACCGATTTACCAATCTCAAGGCAAAATAGTAGAAACTTATCAGTTGATCTACCCGGAGCCTTTGGCCAATAAGTGCGGGGATAGCTTATACCGGCAAGAATGATTATGTCAGAATCTCAGAAGCCAAAATAGAGAAATTAATAAGTTCTTACTTACCCCGAAAAATATCAGGACCATTGCCGGTAGAACTATGCGTGAAATGCCTTTTACTAAACCAGTGAATGAATATTTCAAAACTTCATTTTCCTTGACAGATAACTGTATTGCAATAAGTTTATTGCCACATTTTTTATGGGAATAAAGTCTTTGATGAGATAATAATATGTACTCCCGATTTGTAATCATTATGATTGGTGCTACAGCCCTATAAAAGAGCCAAGTCTATTACGCCAGTCAGTTCTATCCATTGCCAACTGTTGCCAGTTTGCTGTGCCTATTTTTCTACCATCCTCATCTGCACTATCCCTCCATATGAGTTTTGGCCTACCCCTATACCTACTTCCCACAGGTTGTGACATAAGGATTCTTCTAGGAGGGTTGTTCTGCTGTGATCTTACCAAATGTCCCGCTTATTTTAGTCTTCGTATTTTTATAAGAGATACTACCTCTTTACCACCAAATATATATATTTATATCTGTGATATATCTCGTAGTTGTACCTCCTTCTCCAAACACCATTTTCACAGATGCCATCGAATATTTTTCTCAGAATCCTTCGTTCAAATATAAGCAGGAGGTTTTCATCTTCTTTGGAAATGGTCCATGTCTCAGATCAATATGTCAACACTGGTTGTATAAGGGTTTTGTATATAGTTATTTTTGTTTTTTGGTTTAAGTTTCTGCTTCTTATATATCTACTCAATCCAAAATAGCATTTGTTTGCTAGAATTATTTTTCGCTTGATTTCTTCCGTCATAACGTTCTCCTTGGTGATGCTTAAGTATGTGAATTTGTCCACCACTTCAAAGGTAGGAGTTATCAGCAGTGAATTGGTGGCCGATGTTTCAGGCTCTATTGTTAGGTGTTGATACCATTATCTTAGTTTTCTCCTCATTTACTTGCAGGTCCATAGTTTTTGAGACATTTGACAAGGTGGTATACATTTCTTCTAGTTTGCGTATTGTGCGGGTAACTAGGTCAACATCATCGGCATTTGCCAAAATTTGGGATGATTTATTAAAAATGTTTCCTCTGTTGTCTATTTGGGCATCCCTGACCGCCTTTTCCAGAGCTATGTTGGAAAGGAGACGCGCCAGCGCATCTCATTGTCGCAGCCCAATATGCGTTCCAAATGCCTGTGATTGTTTACCCGATTTGTAAACGAAATATTAATAAAGCATTAAGTAATTTTCCACATTAGGTATGTACCTAAAATATTGTGAAACAAAAATTCCATATTACATTAAAATTAGGTTTATTTCGGTTTTACTTACACTATTTTCGTATACTTATATTTTAGGCTAAAAAAGAAAAACTGATTCAGTTAAAGTTATTTAAAGAAATTATTCAAACTACAATTAAAAAACGGGAAAACTATGGCAGATCGATAATAGTCCTAACAATTATCTCTATCATAATTTACATCTCCATCACACATGCAGATACATCTACGCGATACATGTTCCTTCGAGGAAAACTGAACTGGACCTTTACAAAGTACAATATTTATAATAGTATTTGTAGCTTAATTTGGGTTGCTGGTACGATGACTGGAACTTATATTCTTCAAAGGAAATTTCATGTTCCGGATTCCATACTTGCCTTTATTGGGTTGATTTCGATGTTAAGTTGCATCGTTTTGCAGTTTCTTGCAACCAACGATACAATTATGTATATTGGTAAGTACCTCACTGTTCACACCCATGTTTTGATGGGTATTTATTGAGAACAAATCAAGCCAATCGAATTGTTATGAAAAGTTAGTTGTTTTTGCTTATTTTAGTGTAAAGTTTTGGACAGTTGGAAAGTTGCTAATGTTTTGGACGTTTGTTAGCTGAACTGGTGGACACTCGCCCTTGGCAGCAAATTAGCGTGCAATGGGAACTTTTACGCTTAGGAAGTAAATTACAAGGAGCTTTGAGAAGTGGAAAGTGCCTGGAAATTATGTTTTCGTGTCCATGTAAAATATCGAAGACGTTGAAGAAGTTACAACATTATAAATAAGATTAAGTGAGCCAATAAACTTTTTAAATAGTGAAGTTCGAAATTAGAAAAAATTGGTTTAGCAACGTGAGGCAACAGTTCACTGACTGAAAATAAAAATATGTCCAATAGCCTTGTTGCCAAGAAAAATGTAAAATTACCTAAGCAACGAACTGATCAGCCCTTAACGACCGCTGCTGGGTTAATAAATTTTGAGGTTTGCAGGTGTATTTTTTGTAACGAGCAGCATAACGGTACAAATTGTTTTCAACCACAAAACTTTACTATAGAATAGAAACGATGAACATTGTTAAAAAAGAAGGCCTGTTTCGATGTCTGAAACTGTAGACAACGTTTAAACTACTGTAAACATGTGCTGTTTTGGTGTGTCCTGATTTGTCTATTAATAAAATTGATACATCGAACTTGGTATTATCCGCTCGAAAAAAGATAGAACTGAGGATCAGATGCTTGTTAATCAAATAATTCAACTTCCTGCAAATTATTGCCTAATATTTATTAAAGAAATGCATGCAATCATTTCCTCGGTTCAAATTATATTTGCCAGCTTTCAAGTCTTACTCTTGATAAGGTTTTTGTTCTATGCAGAGGGCAATACAGTTGTTTTATGAATCTTAACATTTTAGTGAGATTATACATATAGCTTCGGGACTAGTTTGAAACGCACTCTATTATAAATTTTACCTCAATCACAACTATAGTGTAATATTTCAGTAGCTGTCAACAAAACTATATTTTACTTCACGACTTCAACATTTTATTTTATCATCGTCGATCGAGAATAATCGGACAAAGGGAATTAGAAACAATTCGAATTTATAATTGCATTCGAATTTGTCCACTATGTAAATAAATGTAAGCAGTGCATATAGTACTAAACAAGTAAATAAATAAATAAATAATAGCTTTATTACCCAACAGTTTCCCATTTCTAGGGTAAAAATTTAAGATACATTTTTAATTAGTATACAATCATCAGTAGGTGATACAAAAATATCAAGTAAAATAATAAGTGTAGAAACTAAGTAGGTGAAAAACAAAATAAAGAGTGAGAACAATATAATTAAACAAATCAATATGTAAATAAGAAAAAAAGTACACACAAAAGTAATTAACAATCTAAGTTAGTCCATAAACCAGTGCGCTATCAACCAGATGATTAATTGAGCATGAAAAAATATCGCAACGGTTGCATATTTTGTTATAATTATCGCACATAATATAAATGGGTGACTTCAGTAACATATTTGTTCTCGCACGTGGGCAAGTAAACACGATAGTCGACCTGGAAGTAATTCTTGGCACATGAAATCTAATTTGACCTAATATATCACTTCAGTCAATACAGTTGTGTAACAACTTATAAAAATGAAACCAAAAATATAATTCTTCTTAACTCTAAACTTACAATATTAAACCTGTTACAAAACAAATCGTAATCATAACCATGTACGAGATATACTCCATCAACCTTAAATGCTCAATATTTTAAAAGTTTCCGTTGTACCTTTTCAATCTGTTGCATATAACATTTATAAATGGGATACCAAATTAAACTACAATATTCTAGTTTTGTTCGCACTAGCGATATATACAGCAGTTTAATCGGTCTTATATCGCTAAAATTTATACAGTTTCTGATGATAAAACCGTACATTTTCATAGCATCGGATACTTTCTGCTAAATATGGCTGTTAAAGGTTAATTTTGAATCAAATATAACTCCTAAATCTTTAATGCTATTACATTTTTCAAGATCTGACCCCTGAATTACATAATTAAAATCAACATTTTTTCCTTTCTAGAATAACTTACTACTTTACACTTATTGACATTAAGAAAAAGTTTGTTTTTTATACACCACGTATGTATATAATTTAGATCGTTCTGTAAATCTATACAGTTAGCAACTGTTTTAATTTTACAGTATATTTTAAGATCATCCGCAAAACATAATTTTCTTTTATTGATACCTAAAAATAAATCATTGATATATAACAGTAACAACAATGGACCTAAATTTGATCCCTGTGGAACACCGGATGTAGTGAAGATTAATTCTGATATGACACCATTATAGGATACAAATTGGTTCCTACCTATTAAATAGCTTTCAAGTAACTTTAAGATATTTCCAGCAAATCCCAAATTTGATAATTAAAGAGAAGGTATTTGTGATCAACCTTATCAAACACTTTAGAAAAATCAGTATATATCACATCTACTTGACCTTGTACATCCAAAACATCTGAAATATATTGAGTTATTACAGCTAAGTTTGATACAGTTGAGCGGTTATCTATAAAGCCATGTTGATAAGGTGATATCCATCCCCTAACAGAAGGGTAAATACGATTATATAGAGTTACTTCGAAAACCTTTGAAAAATTGGATAACAAAGATACCGGTCTGTAATTGGATACATCAGATTTCGTTCCGTTTTTGAATACATGGCATATTTTTGCATTTTTCCACAATTTGGGATAAGTTCCGGTTTTTAATGATAAGTTAAAAATTTTTTGAAGTGGCTTTACAAATACCCGAGAACAATCTTTCACTAAAAATGCTGGAATATTGTCCGGTCCGGACGTCATTTTATTTTTAATTCTTTTAAAAGCTACTAAAATTTCGTTTTCTTGAAATTCGTTAAAATTAATAGTGGATAAGTAGATATCCCTACATTCTTGATTATCAAAAGTAAGGAGACTTTTTGACACTGAATCACAGAGAACATATATTTTACAGTGTAACGCACAAGAAATGGGTTTTTCTGATAAAAGTACGACAAATATTGTACATGCATTATTTAACGGTAAAAACACTTCTGAACAGTAATATAAATTATACGAGGTAACTGCAAATGAAGAAGCTTACTCTTGATATTTGATGCCTTAGATCAACGGTCGGCAACAGGCGGACCGCGGTCCGAATCCGGACCGCGAAAGGTAGAACTGCGGAATATCGATTGCTGAGTCAATCAAATTTAAAATAAAACTACTGTTAAATTGCAAATAGGAAGTGAGATGATAAATAAACATAATAACAAGTATGTAGAAGTGATGAAATATTGTTTTATATTAATATTGTATGTTTACAATAAGTGAAATATATCTTCTTCTTCTTCTTCTTCTTCGTCTACCCATTCACGTCCACATCTGAACATAAGCCTCTTCAAGTCTTCCTTTCCATTGTTTTTTATTGTACGCTACTTGTAGCCAATATTTAGTGAAATATATAAATCTGGGGAATTCTGTTCAAAATCTGGCAACTTTTAAAACACAATTGGGGAAAATAAAATTTATGGGTATGGCAATGCTGCTGCCTACTGATTGACAGACGCTCACAGTTTTCGTTCGTTTTATAAAACATCTTTTTGTACCTACGTTAATGGGATCCTAAAAGGAGAAAAGTGGACAGTGAAAATATGAAGTTTCTGGCAGAATGGACTGCACAATATTGTTTTACACTGCCTGTCTGCCTGTCGCAAGCGGATCCGGTGTGCCTTATATGCAGTAAAACTGCCGCCTTAGTTAAAAGTGGAAATTTGAAGCGACGACACTACGAAACAACTTAGCAGTTCCACAAAAACTTTCCTCTTGGCCGTCAGGCGCGTAATAAAAAACTTCGGGTATATCTTAATTCTTACGAAAAAAGCACAAAAATCTTAGTTCGTTGCATGACCGACCAAGAAAAATCCACAGAGGCAGCGTTACGTGTTTGCTGAATACTTAATAAACATCAAAAACCAGTTTCTAATTCTAAGATAGGGAAAAAATGTATGCTTTCTGTATCTAACTCACTTTAAAAAAAAAATGTTGCCTAAGCACTTCAAAGCATCTCATTGTCAGCGCGAAGTAATGCACGAAGAACGGAAATTTTAGCTGCGGATATAAAAACTCTCTTCTTAATCTTTTGCAAAAGGTACCTGCTACGCCATTGCACTTGACGAATTATGTGACATTTTTGATGATGAACAAATGTCTGTTTTTGTAAGATTTCTTGGCAAAGAAAAAGGTGTAGTAAAGAAGATCAGGGATAAAAATTCAAATTTAATAACATATCAGTGCATAATACACCAGACAGTCCTTTGTGGAAAACTTAGAGCTAGACTTGAAGAAGTCATGGACAGTTTACCAAAGTTAATTAATTTTATGAGAACTCATTCTGCTCTTCAGCATCAACATTTCAAGGAGTTTCTGACTGTGATTCAGCATATTCTGACTTATTACAACACAATAATGCTCGTTGGTTAAGTAAAGGTCAAGTTATTGAACGTTTCTGACTAATAAAAGAACATGTAATATTCTTGTTACAAAATATAGATACGCAGGGGCCAGGGCACATTTTGAGTATATAACAAACAGGCGCAACAAGCTGGTTGTGGCTTTTCTAAAAGATATTTTAAAATATTTGAATGCGCTTAACACAGACTTACAAGGATATAAGCTGGATATCTTTAAAAATATATTGCACAACAAGAATTTATTCATTTTCAACTATTCTTAAATATAATAAAAATAAGGAGTACTAGGAGTAAGATCTTAGAAACGAATTTGCTTCAAGATTCCAAGACTTTACACAGGTAAACAAACTATCTTCTAAAATTACCATTTGAAGTTGATGCAGCAGCAGAATGTACAAAAATGTGGCTGCTAAGCTGTTTAATCTGTCAAAATGGAGATTATTGAATTACAAAAGATTTGTCCTTGCCCGTATAAATCGGTATCCGCCGAAGAATTTTGGACCAAACTTGTGCCAGCAAAATATGAAAATTGCAGACAACTCGCAATCAATTTGGCCACTATGTTTGGCTCAATGTATATGTGCGAAACGTCTTTTTCAAAAATGAACTTTTTGAAAAACAAATATCGCTCACGATTAGGCCGCAAACCTCGAAGATACACTTCGAATCTACCAAAATATTAAACATCTTGTCATTAAATGTTATCATTTGTTTTTCTTCTCTACCTTGTTTAAAAATTTTCTTCTAGTATTAGGACCCCACATAAAATTATTTGCCGACTACAGCCTTAGATCAATCATAAATGTGTGCAGATGTGACTCCTGTTTATAACGGCCCTTGGGTTGAGGAACTCAGTGACATAAATATTTCGCTCAGCGACGTCGAACAGACAGTTACAAGCGGAGTTTACATTGGTATAGTAAACGGGTTAGTTGCTTGTACCAGTAACTTGTAAAGCGACAACTAACCCAATGTCAACCTACCGGGTAAGTACTTGTACAAGTGCTTGTACCAGTAACGAGGACAGGTAAGTAAATAGCTAGCCCATCTATTTACTTGCCTACTGTCCTTCCCTTTCCACCACATTTTCGCCTCGACGCAAGTAGCATAGCAAGTGGTTTGGTAACTAGTCGAGTGTAGACGGGTGTGCAAGTGCCCTGGCAAATAACGTTGTGAGAGCAGTGTCGCGGTTTTCTATTTCGATATTGTTTTTTAATTTTACTGTTAAAAGTGAAATAATGAAGTGGTCCGAGGAAGAAACTGTTAAATTTGTCGAACTTTATCGGGAATACGAATGTCTCTGAAACGTTACCAAACAAAGTCATAGAAATAATCAAATGAGATCGGCAGCTTTAGAACAATTAGTTCAACACATGGGCGTTGTTGCCGAAATTGCATCTCAATTGATATTGATGTTTTTGGAACTCGAAAAAAATGATGAAGAGTTATATAGCTATTTCCTGTTGCCAAAAAGTTGAGGGTAACTTCTAATTTAGTGTGCACTGGTAAGGCGTCTCTTAAAAGCGTGTCACTTCTTTGAATTCTAGGCAGAACCATATTTAGCAAGTATTTGAATTTACTCGTTGTCAACTGAAGGCATAATTTATATTCTTCAGGATCTTTCATACGAAGTTCTTTTAAAAGAAGAGTGGATTTCTTCTATCAATCCACCTTCGAACCCATATCCTTTTTGGACATTTTTCTTCTTCAATCAAATTAACAGGTTCTTCAATTAAAATTCTCGATATTCGCAACATAATTTTTTTTAATGCGATGTTTAATTATTAATTTTGAATTATTGCACAAAGCACGGCGCCGGCAATGGAAAGTTTTTATTTTTACGGATCTGGTGCTCGTCGGGAACTGGTAAATAAATAATCTTTTATGTGTAAACACTTACTAGCATGTCAACTTGCGTATGTGAACTGTCCTGGATATACTTGTATAAGTAACTGGTGCAAGTAGCTATACCAATGTAAACTCCGCTTAATTACTTACCTGTCGTCGCTACTGGTACAAGCACTTGTACAAGTACTTACCCGGTAGGTTGACATTGGGTTAGTTGTTGCCTTACAAGCTACTGGTACAAGCAACTAACCTGTTTACTATACCAATGTAAATTCCGCTTTACAAGCTACTGGCACAAGCAACTAACCCGTTTAATATACCAATGTAAACTCCGCTTAAGGAGGGCTTGTAAGAGTGGAAACGAATTGCATCGTTTGTGTGCCAACTTTTCAACATCTAATTCATCTTTCAGCAATCGCCGCTAGAAGCGCTAGTGTTGCAAAGAATGCTACAAATTATAAAAATACAATAGTGTCTTATAGATTTGATATGAAAGTAGCTATTAAATGAAATTTATTATCTATTATTTTCGAATAAGTAACTCCGAGAAAGGTACTGTTTAAAACGTAACAACTGTACTTCTATTATTAGTTATCTAAATACTATTACTTACTCAGCATTCTCTTTGCCAACTCTGTTGGCTATTTTTTTGAACTATCTAAGGCTTAAGTCTGCAAATAATGTCTAATTTTAATTGTTCAAATTTGGAAAATAATTATCCATTTAAAATAAAAGTAGCATTTATTGCTTCTAAGAGGTAAAAATAATAATTAATAAAGCAAATTATAAATTAAATAATATTAAATATATATTAAAGTTTAATATTGATGCATTTTGTTTAATTTATTATTAACTAAATTACCCATTAAATTAGATACATTCTTGTACTTTTAAATTAGCTTGAATCTAAATTAGCTTCTTCTATAGTAAATGTGAACACATTAAAAATAATTTAATTTAATGAATTGACCACACTGCCATGAATTTAACATTAGGAAATCGATCTCTTCCAATTCACGGTTAAAGAAGAGATGATTTATATTCAATGATATAAAATTTGATCAATATGCAATAAGCCTTAGACAAGGAAAGAGAGAGGACGCATAACCGTATCGCTAAAAGTGAAGCCAAACTGCCACCAGGGGCCTTATTCTTGAATCGAGAGAAAATTTTACTCCCCACTAAGCTAACTCGCTTTTCTACTCCATCATAATTTCTCTCGATTTTAAAAAGCTGTATTCTTGAATACGGGGAGTAGAAAGGAATGAGAGAAACTATGAACAGTGTTGCCGGGTTTTCAATGAAAATTTTAACCAATCACAAAAGTTAATTATTCACAAAGGACAAGATGTCAACCGTCAACCTGATCACTCCCCTTAGTGGTGGGCCAACCTGCGATTTTTGTGTAGCTGTGACAAAATGTGACTGCTCCAGTATTGTCACGGTGACAAAAAGCAGTGATTTTTTGGAGCAGTTTAATCTTAACTGCTACCCTGCTACTATTGCTACCTTTGAATATTCCAAAATATATTCTATCTGACAAAAGAAATGGGTCCGTTGGTTGGAGGATATCCCGGCCAATTTGAAGATCTTCAACTGCCTCCAAAACATCATTAAACATAATATAATTCCAGTAGAGCATATGATTGATATCCATCTTTTATTAACTTCCGCTTTTTAAAAAACAAAATACTTCCCTAGTTTTTGAAAGGATATGTATTGTTATTTTCGCTCCCATTTACAATTTCTCTTACCTACTATCAGTAGAAATTGTTATTCCCTTAGGGAGTGACATTTCTCTCACACATTAGGAGAGTGTTTTTCAAGAATACAGCATTTTCGGTTTTAGGGAGCCACGCCTACTTTTACATCACTTTCTCTTGCAATTTCTAATCCCTGAAATTCACGAATAAGGGCATAGAGGAAGTGGTCAGCGGCGTATCTTTGTATTTTTAAGGATTGACTAATTCGTATTTAAAATTAAACATTTTTGTACATTAAATGTTTTAGTTAATTTATTTTATTTTATACAAATATTTTGGAATCAAAATTAACGAAATTTATTATTTTATTTACTTATTTATGGAATTTTATTAAATATTTTATGGAATTTTAACCCTCAATGCACATCGCCACTAGCAAATCATCATGATGTGTGAGTGAAATTATTTACAATTACTTAAATAACTATGCATATTTAGCATTCTTATTCACTAATTTAGATCTCACCTTTCCTTAAAATACTAACTTAAATTGGTTTTGAGGTTTAAAATTGAAATAAAAAGTAAAATCAATTAATACCTAATTCTTCTTCATGTACCATGTCCTTTCAGAACGTTGGTTACCATAACAGCTATCTTAATTTTATTCACTACCACCCTAAATAGCATTCTTGTATCAACACCATACCAATTGTATTTTTCCTTGCATGATATTTTGTAGCAATCTATATTTGGGACCTCTCATTACATGTCCGAAATATTCCAACTTTCTCTTCTTGATACTTTTTATGATCTCAGTAGTCTTGTTCTTCTATAGCACCACATTTCGAAAGCCTCAAGGCGATTTAGATCGATTTTATTCACAGTTCAGGACTCGACACCATAAGGTAAGACCGAGAATACGTAGCAGCGAAGTAGGCGGATCCTCAATGCCAATTTTAGGTCTCTGTTACATAACACCTTGGATATCCTTCTAAAAGCAGCTCTAGCCTGCTCTATCCTAGATCTAATTTCGCCGTGACTTTCTGCGTTACAATTTAATTGCTGTCCAAGGTAAACGATTTTATCAACTTGCTCAAGTTTGGTATTATTTACATATATAGACGATTTTATATGCTGTTGTTTACTTATTACGAGTATTGTGGCTTTCCGTATGTTAAGATCCAGACTTGCTTCTTATTGACTAGAAGCTAGAAGTACTGTATCGTCCGCATATCACAAATGATTGATGACTTCGCCGTTCACAAGTATTCCTTCTTGTTTTTCAGTAAGTGCTTTTCGGAAAATTCTTTCGGAGTAAACGTTAAAAAGCAGGGGTGACAAGAGGCATCCCTGCCGTACTCCTCTTTTAATATTGAGAGCCTGTGATTCCACACCATCTACTAAAACTGATGTTGTTTGATTCCAATATAAATTTGCAATTATTCGAACATCTCGGCCGTCCAAGCCAATGTCTTTTAGAGTTCGGATCAATATAGAATGCTTAATACCTAATTGCACTATTATAAATATTTACCTATGAAACGATATTCCTGATGTTTTCTGCTCGCTGTGATTTTAACAAAGAATATATGCACAATTCACAATTTTATTAAGTAAAAAAAATTGGCGTTTAAATAACTTTTTTTTAAAAACCACAAAAACAAAACTGGTGTCAGATCTATTGTTTGCCACCAAAAAATAGCAGACACATCGAAAAGTGGCTTCACTTTTTGAAGGTTGGTTGAACGAGCGTTACCCGTCCTCTCTCTTTCTTTGTCTAGACAACAAGCCATTTCTCGCTTGTCTTACTGTACTTATCTCTATATTTAACAAACCTTTTTTTAGCCGGTGGATCAAGGTGCTTGATAGGACTGGTCGCTCCCATGCTGCGAGCTAATATATCCCGCTTAGTACCATCTGATGAAGTTGGTAAGATATTCGCAATGGTAGTAGGAGGTGGAGCTCTCGCAGCTGCTAGTTTAACGCCTATATATACAGTAGTGTATAACAGTACGATCTACATTAATTCTGCGTTATACAACCTGACATCCATTTCTCTACTGACAGTAACTATTGCTTTAGTAATGTAAGTATTTATTTATCCTTCTTTTAAACTCCACAAATTCAATATATTTCACCCAATTTATCTAATTCCCTAACCACAACTTATTGCTTAAAAGTTTTAACGAAACTTCTTCTAAGAAGTAACTCAGCGGTTGTCGTTTCTGCATGTTTGACCACATAAATACTAGTTCTCCTTCTTACATGCTAACATATTTATCCATGTGTTTCAGTAGAAACTATTATGAGTAACATGATTTGATTACATGAAGACGTTAAATTTTAATATTGTTCTGAATTTTTATTTTTATATTTTAATTGGGAATAAGTCCCAATTTTACTTGAAAATAAGTTTATTTTACGTTTCGATTTCCCCTTCGGAAATCGTTCCCAAAATACAAAACATTAATAAATTAAACAAATATTGTTTTTTGTTACATAAAAGATCGATTAGGGGAGACACGGATTAAGTGGCAAGCATTAGTGCTATGAGATAGTGTGGAGGCAGATTGTTTGCTAAATTGATTTATTGATGATATAAAGAAAACAGTGGTTTTTTACCTACTGGTGATCTAAGGTACGTGCTTGATACTATATTTACTTAATCTTTACTCTGATTTTCTGAAGTTAATCAAACACATTGCTCAAGGACAGTATATGTATTTACGCATAGTTTGAATGGTGTACTCCCAAATCTCCCTACCCAAATGAATGTTCGCGGAGTGCGAACATTCATTATCTGCGGATGCGGAGGATGGACACAATCGCGGATTTGGTCAACATCGTGAAGGGCCGTAAGCTGCAGTACTTGGGACATATAATGAGAAATCAAGGCAGATACTAGCTACTTCAATGCATTTTGCAAGGTAAAATTAAAGGAAAAAGGGCCCCAGGACGAAGAAGCATATCCTGGCGCGAGAGCATGGTATAGAAAGAAACCAACACAGCTATTTTGTATAGCAATCAACAAAGTCATCATAGCCAGAATAATCGCCAAGATACTGAGTCATCCTTTTGTTTCTGCATCATAGGACAACTTAATTCATCATCTGAAGAGACTGTCAACTCTAAACTTTCGGAATCCGTTTCTGAATCACTTTCACCTGGCTTGGTCTTTTTTCAGGGATGATCCTTTTTACAGGCTTTTTCTTGCTTAAAGCTTTACAAATATACAGTTTCACTTTCTTACTGCTAGCTGTTGTGGGGGTTTTCTTACCTTCAGTTTTATAAGAGTGATCTTTTATTTCTGGTGTACTAGTTAAAATAACACTTTTCCTTGATGTCCGTCTACTATTTGAATTTTTTCTGAGTGCGGCATTAGGAAAACCTCGTATGTCGAATGGAGTAATAAAAGGACTTTTTGATGTCGAAGGTATTTGAGTTCAGATTCTTGGGTTGTATTGTTCAGATGAAGTAGAAGCTATATTAACTGAAGATGAAAATACAGCCCGGTGGGGCTGGGATGTCGTGTTTGGTGTCATTCGATAGATAAGTTTTTTTATTTTTTTCGATCCGATGTAAATTCTGCGAAATATTCAACCATCACACTCCTTTTGGCACTTCGTAGGGGAAAGTTGCCTAAATCATCCGCCTCCTTAATCGTACCACCTCTATTATACTGCTTTATAGATACCCTAGAGCTCCCTGACAGTGTAATTGTGTACTAAAAGAAGAATCCGGCAAGTTTCAACAGAGTTGTGCATGTTCGCGGCATTCTGCGTTGACTTATTACAGTTATTGTGTTTTTGAACGTGTGCTTGTAGTTTTCGTGCATCCTACGTAAGCTCACATCTTTTTTAAAGGTAGGTGTAATATTATTTTATCAACACATTTGTATAATACTCTTAATCTATTATCTAAAAACCAATAGGTTAAGGGAAACAGTTTTATTTTTAGGTTATAAATTGCAAATGTTTATGAAAAGAAAGAGTTGCCTTGATCGTACCTTGCGACTTTTCCTTGATCGTACCGGTACGATCAAAGATACCCTGTCCTGTCATTTATGGAATAAAATTATCTCTGTCCTTGTTTTAAAAAATCATAAAAAATGCTGAGACCCGTTGATTTTTAAATATAAATGTGCACTTTTTAAACATAAATTTAAATGTACAGGGTGATTAAGGCAAGCCTAGTACAGACCATAAGCTTTATTTTTTATGGAACACCCTGAATATTTTTATATTTTTAAAAGCTGCTTAACCTGATTTCAACGAACTATATCATGCAGTGTAGGTTTCTTATGAATAATACAGGATGAAATTTTGAAATTATAACGTATGGAAACCACTATCGAATAAACCTATTTGTATCTTTATTTTACAAAACTATAAAAAGGCTAGTATGGATCAACTTTTAATTCTCAGCGTTTTTTATACTTTTTTTGAAATAAGAACAGAAATAAATTTATTTCGTAAGTGCCTTCCACACTGTATACAATTACCTTCTTATTTTTCAACTAACAGGAGCAATGACAACCTAATACACTTGTGATTTTGTGTTTTAGATGGCAAAAAGGACATATGGGTGGAGCGAGGACGATATGAAGCGGGCTCTTCAAGCTTACCGTAATGGTGATGTTGGATTTAATGAATGCTGCCGTCGGTATGGCATACCAAAGCCAACTTTCAACCGACATCTTAACGGAAGAAATGTTGCTGCCAATGAAGCCATAAAAATCATTGGTCGGTTGTCTATCTTACCAGTGGACATAGAAAATGATCTTCTAGATCATATTTTTAAGCTAGAAAGCTTAATGTTTGGACTTACAATCACGGACGTAAGAAGGTTGGCATATCAAATTGCTGAGAAAAAATATATTTCCCATAACTTCAATACTCAAACTCAATTGGCTGATAAGAAATGGTTTTACTCTTTTAAACAGCGACATCCTGAACTTGCTTTGAGAGATCCCCATGCTACATCTTTATTACGGCTGAAAGGGTTCAACAAAGAAAATGTTTATGAGTTTTTTGACATCCTACAGAAGCTTGTTGAAGAAAACAAAGTCGATGCCATACGAATTTACAATATTGATGAGTCAGGACTTTCTACTGTCCAAACCAAAAGTCAAAAAATACTTGCCAGAAAAGGTAAAAAACAGGTAGGTTCAATCTCAAGTGGCGAGCGTGGTGTCAACACTACTATGCTATGCTGTACCAGCGCATCCGGAAATTTTGTTCCACCTATGCTTATTTTTAAGCGTATGAGAATGACGCCTGAGCTTAAAGTTGGAGCTCCACCTGGAGGGTTGGTAGACATATCTGAGTCCGGGTATATAACCATTGAGCTGTTTATAAAGTGGCTGACACATTTTGTTGAAATTGTAAAACCAACTCCAGAGAAAAAAGTTATTCTTGTGTTGGATGGGCACACAACTCATTCTAAAAATCTTGATGCCATTGAATATGCCAGGAATCATGGTGTTATAATATTACAACTTCCCGGACATACAACACATCGACTTCAGCCTCTAGACAGAAGCTTTTTCAGCCCCTTAAAGACCTACTTTAATCAAGCAGTTGAAAAGTGGCTGAGAACTAATCCTGGGCTATGTGTCACACAATATCAAATCTCTGGATTAGCTACAGAGGCATATGGCAAGGCTGCAACTATGGAAAATGCAGTCAGTGGTTTTCGTGTCAGTGGTGTATGGCCAGTAGACCGTACTGTCTTTAAAGATAGTGACTTTGCAGCGGCTGATAATCTAAATCAGAATGACACCGAAAACGTCAAAAGAGAACTACTGGAAGAACATGCAGACGATCCTGTTGAAATTGACGGTCCCTTGATCCAAAGCTTAAGCAACAGTGTTCCTGAGTTACCAATAGATAGGCCTAATAGTGAAACAGCTAAGGCTGCTAATGTAGGCTTAAATTGCCCTAAGATCAAAATTTCAATTGACACTATATCTCCTATTCCGAAACCACACACTAAATCAAAGAAGGCTTCGGGGATTCAAAAAGCTGCCGTGTTGACAAGCAGTCCATACAAAACTAAACTTGAGATGGCCAGTGAACTGAAAATGGCGATAGAGAAAGTAAAAGAACTTAAAGAGAAATTGGGAAAGAATGTAAAACCGAAAGGTTATGTTAAAAAAGGGAAACTTTGTTAAGTTAAGAAAACAAATAAAAAGATCGTGAGAAAGAAAAAAGAAATTGCCAAGAAAAATCTTGCGGTAGAAATGTCAAACATGTCTTCAAAAAAAGAATTACTAAATATGGCCTCCACTTCACGTGCTCCTGATGTATTAATTGACATTGACAGGGAAGAGTGGTATTGTTCTTTGTGCGAAAGTAATACAGTAGAAGACATGATTCAATGTCAGAATTGTCGTTTTTGGTTTCATGAATCATGCGCCGGCATTAAACCTGGACTTAAAACGTTCTTCTGTGTCGCTTGTAAATAACTATTGAGAAAGTGTATTATTAAGGTTTTGTTTTAATGTTTTATTAACTCTTTGTTACTTACAATTGTAATATAATCATGTTTTATTTTAATGTATGGTTGACATAAAATCCCTGAACAATCACCATAAGACTAACATTGAGTACGATCAAGGAAACCTATGGTACGATTTAGGAAACTAGGTTCCTAATTCGTACCACTTGTAAGCTTTCCGAAAGTAATATTTTTTTTGTACTATATGAAGTTATACGACCATAGAAAAAATAGTTTAGGTTGCCAAATAAGTCAACTTTATTGTTGCATTGTGTAAAACCTAATTGTTCATTATTTAATGAAAAAAAAATGAAAATTAAAAAGTGGTACAATATTAATAAATATAAAAATTATAAATGTAATTTGAATTTATGATATCTGTAATTTCGAGATCTTTTTGGAGATAAAATAAAGTTTTGGAGAATAAGTTAAACCAACCGTTCTTAACTTATTCTCTGAACACACAAAAAAACGTAATATTATATAATAGGATTTATCAGTTTCATTAGTGAAACAAAGGAAACATACATATGCTTTAGGACACTATAAATGCAATACGATTATATAGTATCACAACATATACAGTATCATATCAATATATACTTTTGAAAGAAAGATATTAGGAAGGATATTGAGATCCATTTGCGACAATGGTATAATATACGTAGAGAATAAGATTCAACCAAAATATATTAATATTACGAAGAACCCTCTTTAATATTGACCACTTATGGCTCGTGAATTTGGATGACTTATTTCATTTTTTATTTGCTAGACTATAGTAGTATATAAATAATAATGAAAAAAGTTGTATTGATTTTTAACATTATCTCTTATTATCTCTATCAAAATTTTCAGTGCGTCTCTATATTTCGTATCATGTTTTAGGTTAATCATATTTTTAGAACAAATATCTAAAGCTGAAGTTCAGACTGTTAAAGAAGTTGATGTAAAAGAAAGCTAACAGCCTTACAATTGTGATATAATAATATGTTTTATTTTTTATTGTATTTTTAATTTATTAAAGAAATATTAACTCTGTCATGATTTTTTATATGTACTCTTTTATAGTATATAATTATTTACCTGTTATCGGTGTGCACTCTTTTCTCAGACTTTAAGGAGTAAAAATCTGTCAATAAACTCACGAGTAGCTTCTGCTCTGTTGAGACCTGCTTATTTTAGCTGCTGTCCACGGTATTTTTAGTGTTCGTCTATACAACCATATTTCAAAAGTCTCTGAGGTGTTTTTAGTAGATTCTTTTAAGATTCATGCTTCGAAAACATATAAGACAACTAACCAAATGTAACATTGAATCATGCGTTTGAGGATGACAAATTTATAAATCCAAACATCTCCTCTTTTCATGTTTTCATCACATTTTTCCATGAGTGTGTCTGGTTACTACTAATGTAGTCACCACTCTATTGATTATTGGATTTATGTGCTGGTTCCAAGTGAACCTTGAGACTAATATTACCCCAATATACTTTACTTCACCAAGTTCGTATAACTACAACCTATTGTATTATATATCTGGCGTTGCTGTAGGAAACCCTGCTCTATACGCATTTTGTTCCTGATGTATCTTGGCTGTTCCCATGCTTTTGGTTTGTATCCCAAATTTAAGCTGGCCTATAATATCATGCATATTTTTCCATACAGGCGATTTCCCTTCTGTATAAGCATTGGATGAATCCCGTCCAGACCCGGTGATTTATATGGCTCAAATGAGATTATTGCTCATTTGATTTATCCTGATCTACCACTTATTTTACCACATCTCAGTTTTCTTTAGAACTATAATATTAAATATGGTATATAAATATGGTATATATATGGTAAACTATTTGTGTATACAATTATTTGTGTTCCAATTTAAAGTGTATGCAGTAGTTTTTTAGTTTTGTTAAGAATTTTCAGGGCCTTAACAGAGAGAGATGAAAACAGTTGAGCGAAGGAAGGCAGTGAATACTGTAGAATCCCTGAATATATATATTAAACCTTCGCAAGGTTGTGCATTCCAATTTGTAATTTAAAATGTTCAGTTCTACAGATTCTATAGGGGAAGTTACCCCAAAAAAGCGATCAAAAATATGGTATGTTAGTAGTACGAAAAAAGTGTTGTTTATACATAGACAACAGAATCGCATCCGGAAGCTTTGGTATCACAATTAGTGAAACAGACTGCTTTTTCTTGTTAAGTAGGTGAAGCTTGTGTGTACAGAATTGTTAGAGAGCAAAAGAATACCGAAATAATATTGAACAAAATTGATGATGCCGATAAATCTGCCATACGACGAATTGTGCACCATTTTTTAACGAGATACTCACTATACATAAAGTTCTTTTAGCTATTAACGAGGACGAAAGTTTGCCGAATTTTAAGATTTTATAAATTTCTCAAAGCACTTGAGTTTAAATACGTACGGAGGGACAGAAATAGTGCTTTGTTAAATCGAGACGATATTATTTTGTGGAGACGAAATTTCTTAGTCCATAAAACGAAAGGGGGAAAATAAAAAATTTATATTATTTAGACAAAACATGGGTAAATCCAGGACACACAAAATCCCATGTGTGGGTTGACGAAACAGTCAAATTTTAAAAGCAGACATTTTTGTCTGGTCTTTCAACAGGTCTTAAAAATCCATCGGACAAGGGCAAAATACTTTTTATTACATTTGGAGTGAAACAGGTGTTATAGAAAACAGTTTATGGATATTGGGGTCCAAAGAGGGAAGCGATTATTGTGAAGAGATGAACGCTGTTTGGAAAGGTGGTTTGCAAGTACATTGCCCCGTTTAGAAGATAACTGTATGATAGTTCGTGATAATGCCTCTTATAATTCTCGAAAACTTGATAAGGTGCCTCATATCATGGAATAAGCGGAAAATAAAACACTGACTACATTCAAAAGATATTTATTTCGATGACGATATGTAAGTGGCCTCACTTAAGACAGTCTTTAATAAATGTGTCGTAGACGAAATGGCAAGAGCACAAAATAAAACTGTCTTACGTTTGCTACCATATCATTGTGAGCTCAATCCAATTGAACTTAGACCTATGGGCTAAAGCTAAATATTTTGCTGTCAAGAACAAAACTTTTAAATTCGTAGATGTAACAAGCCTTTTTGATGAAGTCCTAAGCAACATCACCCGGAAAAATAGAAAAACTGTGTGGAGCATGTTAAAAATGCACTAGAAAAAAAATTCTCAGAACTCGATATTATGGTACTACTGATTATAGAATTTGGTGCTAATATTGAGAGTGACTGATGCAATTATCCCTTATCTGAGTAAAAATACTTTAAACTGTTTCTATTTTTTTAAAACAACTTATCAACATTAAAGAATCAACCATATACAGTAAGCACTGAAATAAATTTACGATGACATTTTGATTTATTCTTCTAAAATTGAGATATTTCAGATCACTTAATATTTGACGAATTTTTGGTTTAGCTTTGATAAATTATATAACTTTAGAAATTTTTTACGGACAATGAATATTTTTAATTATCAAAACAGATTTTATTTATTTCCTAAATATAGGCGGTCTTTACATAAAAAAATGTCTATATTATAATCAACCTTGTACAAAGCTGGCCACAATATATTAATACTATTATTTTACCCTACAATTGAAATTTTATCTTTACATCAATATACCTAACCCTTTTTATAATTACAGTCAATAATTTCGCAACAGTATTCCAAAATTTATAAATTTTATTGCAGTAGCTTCAAATTATTACTTACATCTCCAAAGAAATTTTATTAATAATCTGTAAAATTTTATACAACCTGAATTTATGCTTTTCCTTTATTTTGATCTGTTTTAGACATCTTCAACTGTATGATTTTCGATTTTTCTCTGATTTTAAATTGATTCTGATATCTTTCTGACAACTTGACAACCTGGACGATCCCTCCTTTCTCTTCACTTGATTTTATTTTGTATATTAAAGGTTCTGTCACATAAAAGTGTCTCACTAAACATTTTTTATTTACAAACAAATTCCTATTTGATATCAATATAATTTTCTTTGAATATTTTAATAAATATCTCTGTTTAATATTATTTTATTAATAAATCTTTAAATGCATCTTTTATTTATAACATGAAAGTTTCAAACTCAATCACAAATTTCACATTATGTGAAATTTTTAGAAGAACAATAAATTCAACTTTAATAATTAATAGTTTAAACTTTACAAAACTATCAAAAATCCATCTCAGCGCATTGCTTAAGCTAAAAATTTTACGTATTATTTGAAAAAAACATTAGTCGCGTCAGAGTACACCCCTGAACAAGGCGGACGTATATAGCAATAAAAGCCACCCAGCTAAGGTCGATTCAGACCATCGAGTTAGAATCTATGAAGAGGGCATCACGTGACTAAAAACGACCTCGCTTCGGCCATATTGGTATTATTGTTTTGAAACTTTTGACAGATCGTATATGTTTGGTTACATTTGTTGTTTTTCAAATATTTTCAGTTTTATAATACTTTTATAGAAACTGTAATATCTTGTGATAGTGCATAATAATGGTTTCTTGTTCTCAACGTAGTTGCAGTAGCAGAAGTAATGTTAATAAAAAATCTTCAGGAATATCGTTCCACAGGTTAGTATACAAATATGTAAACAAAGTAATGGCCCGTACTTCAGAGAATAAATTAATACTATTTGACTGTATTAATTTATCTTTATGTATAATATATCGTGTTTTTAGTGTTTATCGCGGGATAAATAAATCATAGTTTATTAAAAATGTATTGCACTTTTTTAGATTATGATTAAATCTTCTGAATAACTAGTCATATTTGTATAGTAGTTTTATTATTATTGAGTCTGGCCCTGATGTCACCGCCATATTGGTATTATCGTTAGCCACTCCTACCTATGCCGTTTTTAATACATACGTTAATATACTCATAGCTTCTCCATAGATTCTAACTCGATGATTCAGACACATCAGTCCCGTCACAGTCTCGGCGCCGAACCGGTCCTGTTTGGTCACAGAACTATCAACTATCTGACAGCTGGCAAACTGTTCGTCAACTGATGAATGTGAATGCCTGCGCCATATTTCTATTAAAGAATATTTTGTATGACGGATTGTTCCGTTCGGCGCCAGGACTGTGACGAGACGTGACTGATGTGTCTGAATCGACCTTTAAAATATCGGTATTTCTGTACAATGGACCGCCGGAGTGATGACGTAGATTTGATTGACATCTGTCAATATCACTTTCCAAACAAACGTTGTTTAGTGGATAATTTGAATTTTTCGTTATTTTTTAATTTTTTTTACAGAATCTTTCCGATTTTTGCAATATCTAAGTATTCTAATAGTTACTACAACAATTTGACAATGTTGTGTAAATAATAAAGCATGTTGTTTTATAAAAATAGCAATAAAATGCATGCATCAATAAAGTAAGATTAGAAATTCCTTAATGTACCTATACTTTTAAACTATATTTCATAGAAATAGAACACTGAATTGTGATGGTATTATCGTAAAGAACAATATACTTAAAAGAAAAAGTAGCAGAAGAAGCTAAATGTTAACTTTATAGAAATTAAAAAGTCTTGAGATTTGACATTTCAACTTTTGTTTGGAAAGTAATGACAACACTATGACAGATGTGACGTCACACTCCGGCTGTCCATTATATTTATTTGTTTACATGCGCTCTTCTTCTTCTTCTTCACGTGCCATCTCCTCTAAGAAGGTTGGCAACCATCATGGCATGCGCTCTGGCTTCTCGATAAAACTACTTTTTAGATACATGCTGGGCTGTATCTATAAATAGGAGTATCAGTTTTGTTTTAAACTCAAAAAAGTGCACCCTAAAAAATTCTTTCTGTACAACCCCGCCATACTCCTTTTAAACACATATTTTACTCACATGTGAAGTATTTTGTTTAAATAGAACAGAAGTAATAA